TTGAACTGTTGTTTGAAACAGCAAAAGGTCTTTTCTCTGTCTCTACTTGTTTTCGCGCACCAATGATCATCATGATGAAAGACGCTATAGTCAGTTTCAAGGTCATGATGGGTTCCTGCGTCTGCTGGTTATATGTTTTCGTGAATTCGTTTTCCATTGAATTTTAAAGGTTTTTTTGAACGTTTTGCTTGTTTTGGAGTATGTAGGTCAGTTTTTTGTCACTGGATGCTACTAAGACGTTTATTTTTAGCTTGCAGTTCCCAGTTTTTATGTTGGTAGTTAAGGATTATGGTGAATCTGCAATCATTGAGCCAATTCACGTATACTATGCTAATATAGTAACTTTTCTCAGTAATTAAACGCCCTAACTGTTCTGCCATTGTTGGATCAAACAGTGGCAGAACAGTTACGGATTATTTGCTTAAGGTAGAACTGTGCGCTGGTTTATCATCATGACTGACACCAATTCAGCACCTTGTTCTTATTCTACGCATTATAAGAAGTAGCTTATCAGCCTTATTGCAGCCCTTCTAGTCCAGGTTCTGCTCCTCCCAAGCTTACCATATTGCTGAATTAAATCTCACTAATTCCAACGTTCTACAGTCAGTAAATTCTGGATCTTTTCTTAAACATACTCTTTAATTTCACAGTCTAGAACTCAGTTTTGGTTTTCAGCATGACTGACACTAATTCAACACCATGTTCTTTTTCTAGACATGTTCAGGAGTAGATGAGAACCTACTGGTTTTGCTTATCAGCTTTATTTAAACCCTTTCAGCTCATTTTCAGTACGGACTAGCATTACTTCAGAACAAAAAGACTTAATTTAGCACATAGTGACAATTTTTTTGAGCTTAAATTTGGAAATTATATTTGGAAACTGTAGTACAATGTCACTGCAAATCCGTCAAGTTAGGTCCACTGGTAGCACCCTGTAAATAAGCAAAATGAAATATCAGTTGATGAAACATTGTGCTCATCACATTCTCAGCATTTACATTTAGAAAAGTTCGCTTACATAACTGCCACTGTTATATCCCCTGCTATCTTTTCCATTTGCCTAGAAATAAAAACAATGATGTGATTACTAGATGTTGTCTTAACGTTAACCTATAAAACGAAGCGGGCGTTTAACAGTATTACCTGAATTCCTTTCTTCAGGTTACGCCTTTGGACACGATCTTTCAAATTACGAAAGTACGATTTCGTGGCCTAATCCATTATGTCACCAACCTCTCTCGATGTCATCAGTTGGTCGCTACAGAAATAAGTACTTCATTAATGAACCTTACATCTCGTGACTGAATTTCGAACATCTGAATTACTTGATTTAGGTGGTGTAGTAAAATCGTCACTAAAATCACAGTAGGGTCGAAAGCGTATCCTATCTTCACTTTCCATTTCAACTATATTCCCCCGGTTTACCTGAGGCTGATTACATTGTCCGGAGAATAAGAAGTAAATATGACGTTCAGATAAGTTACTTTCCTTTGCTAAACTTAACACCATTAGTACTAGCTTCTTTAGGTACATGCTTGACACCTGTACTTTTCACCAAGTGCACGTGCTCAACCTAACGCTGAGCTGCCTGCTTAGCCACAACATATCCACAGTGCACGAACTGTCTGATCATGCGCATATAGAATTCAAAGGGAAATGCACTGAATCCCTCTAATAGCCCATGCAGCTCGACGTCATCCACTGTACGTTTCAGAAAATGAATATTGTAAACATTATGTTTATCTCCGAAACAGTTCTCATATTGCAGTAAGAAATTACTCCAATCTGTCCGAACAGCATCCAAAAACGGTCGGCTGTATTTGGTACTCGAAAGTAAGTATACTGCCAGGGAAAATTTCCTATAATTATCATACAGGGGGGAGGCAGAATGTTCCTGAGTAGGCGAGACCCAAATATAGTAGCTTTTTAGAAGGACCAGGGTTATTTCAGTACATACTGGGGTCACTTCAAGTAGATAAAATATTCATTTACCGTAAAAAGGCATTATTGACGCGTTGGTTAGACTTTGCTGAGAATTGTTGCAAGGTTGGTATTTTAAGCGTCCCAAGCTTACTAAACTATACCTCCAAAAGTGCATTCAAAGCTCACAAACTTATATTCCATAGGGCCAGATGGGTCTTTTTTACCTGAATCAAGCCGTTAGGATGTGTTGGATTCCTTTCAAAGAAATAATGAACAATTTAGTTGTTACCTTCATAAATGTATCAAAAGCTTGCTTAAGTTGCACCCACGTATAAAATACACAACTAAGCATTATTCTTTGGAATATAGCCATTACATCAGACATAGATGACACATTTCGTGTAGTAGAGGCTGCAGGAGTATCTTGTAACGTCATGTAATGGTTTTAACAATGACCAACGAACACAACATTATAATTTGAAGTAGATGAATAATAGTATATATTTCAGTGCCCATAAACCACTGTTGTGACCTAGTACATTTAATTGATTTATGCTGACCTAATATGCACAAATCCCACAGGTCACTAAACTAACAACTTAAAAAAGTGGATCAGTTAATACGTACATTTATCTATATGTTCTAATTAAAGACACATTATATGTTTAGAAATTGTAGTTGAATTATATTCGCCTAGTAAGCAAAAATGCATACATCCTATTTTGAACTTAAAATAAATGCATCAAAATTATTGTTAATTTATATTCACTTGCTAGACATTCCCATATATCTCAATGTACTTTAAATACTACAAATGCATCCAAATAGCGTGTGACTATCACACTACACTCACACCAAAAAAATTAACACGCCGTTATATTATGGTAAGTTAAGCCTGAAATTAAACTGACTGTAAATTTCCGTGTCAAAATAAAGAGACTGCCATTTTAACTTATATTTTAGACCAATAAGAAGCCAGCTAGCCAACAGCCAATCAAAATCTGCCTATATCGCTTTTCCATCATGATGGATGTTGCACTCGGGGATTAGAAATCCTTTTTATGCTCTAGTTAAGTATTAATCATAGTCTTTCGGGTCATAATTTCTGAGATATCAGCTACAATATTGGTCACTAAGTAACTTCATCCATTGTATTATATACATTCATTTTCAAGGAAAATCGCGCAGCATTAATCATAAAATAAGCCCTACCTATTTTTTGACGTCTTTGTTCGCATTTCGAACTTTAAAGGCCACTCATTGTATCACATCGTCCAACAAGATGGTGATATTTTTGACATCTCTAATAAAGACTTTAGGGATTGTCGTGGGTAAATTTTGGGATCACTTAGGAAATTTTCGCGGCTTAAGAGGAAATGTAGATCTTCTGTGTCATTTCTTTGAAACTTCACCGTTCATATTACGTTTATATGCCCTTAGTCACCCAACCAATAAATCTGAAATCTGAAGTAATAGCTGCAACTTACTAAACGGCTAGTATTCCACATTCAGATTCAGATTCAGATGATAAGGATAGAGGGCTCTTGTGGCCTGTGTTAATCCTTGCAAAATATATCTCTGCAGAGATCTAAATTATCTTTGAAAGCGTTCACCGATGGAGCTGATACTGTTGAATCAGGTAAGGAGTTCCACTCATTGACCACTCTGTGAGAGAATCTAAATTCTGCGCGTATTTTAATCGTCCTCGGTTTGAGCACCTTTTTGCGGTGACCCCGTAAATGTATCCTAGAAGAGGAGAAAAGTTTAGAAAGGTCAGTTCCTAAATCACCCTTAAGTATACTGTATGCTAAAATTAAGTCGCCTCTCTTCCTTCGGTATGATAATGGAAAGAGATTTAAATGCTCCATCCTCTTATCATAAGGAAGGTGTGAGATACCACTAACTAATTTCGTTCCTACTCTCCGTACTCTTTCCAGGATATATGCCTTCTTTTTGAAGCATGGACCCGCCGCTTGTATGCAGTATTCTAGATGAGGCCTGACATATGTTGCGTAGAGTATTTGGGAGATGCTCTCGTTTAATCGTTTGAAAGCCCTTCGAAGTGCCCATAGCATTCGAAAAGCCTTAGCTGCGGCTGCATTGCAATTTTCAGTTGTTTCCAAACCATTGCCGACAATGATTCCTAGGTCCTTCTGTTCGTTAACATCAGGTAGTTCTGTGTCCCCTAGGGAGTACGACGTATAAGACTTCTGACCTAAGTGCATTACCGCACTTTTCCTAGAATTCATTTCCAAACTCCACAGGTTCGACCACTCAGCTAATTTATCCAGATCAGTTTGTAGGGCCGACCTATCCTCGTTATTATTTACAGTTTTCCGTGTCTTAATATCGTCTGCAAATAACAATGAAGATGAAGTAAGAATCCCCGGTAGCTCATTAACGTATAATAGGAATAGCAAGGGGCCTAATACAGTTCCCTGAGGCACTCCACTGGATACTGCTTTCCACCCTGATAGTACACCATTAACTCTAACTTTCTGCCTTCTGTCCATTAGATAATCCCTAAACCACTCACATAGGCATTGGTCTAGTTCAAAACCTTTAAGTTTACTAAGGAGACCTAAGTGGGATACTTTGTCGAATGCCTTGCTGAGATTAATAAAAACCACGTCCAACAGAAGGTTTTTATCTCTGGCCTCGATCCAATCTTCCCTAGCTAACAGTAAGTTTGTCAAGCAGGATCGTCCTGGTCAGAATTGTGGAGGTAGGGCAACTTTGAGTTAAAGGTTGTGCCTCGCTGGCCGGTAATGCTCCTCGATGCATGGTGGAAATACGACGTCTGAGCAGCTTATTTTGTTGCAACCGCTGTTGTAATTGTTTCTGTTTCACCCTGTACTTTATGTTGGAACAGAAAGGAACTGGGCATTTAGACTCTTCACAACACCGGGCATGATGCCATAGCAAGGACAATAACTGGCGACAAAGCAAACAACTGTTTGTTGCTTTCTTCCTGCAGTTTCGAGTGTGACACAAAACCCGTTTCATCTGAGCACATGTTTGCATACGACAGTTTGCATCTCGATATTGACAGGCATGCAGCAATGACCTAATGCAACCCTCGACACTACTTCAATGATCAGGAATTGTACCAGCACCACTAGGCCTGTCACCTGATTCTTCATTTGTACTCGAATCTTCGTCGATACCAAGACCATACTGAACCATTGGGTGAGGATGGTTTTCTGTCTTATAACAACGGGAACATAAATCATATTCCTCACAATCGTTACAATGCCATCGAGTTTCGATTTGGGCACCACAAACGTTACAGTTACACATAAAGCTCTGTCGCAATTCCATATGCAATTCATAAAGGAGAACCATTGAAGAGTACTTAGCATGACGCAGGGATGAAAATTCTAAATGTCTTTCGCGGGCCATCTGTAGGAACGCATCTCGACTATCCATTAATTCACTATGTACAGGTTGGTCTGGATCAGTAGTGGGTGGAAGCGAAGCAGCTGAATTGTGTCGATGAAGACGGATGACAAAAAATATTTCCTTTAACTTCTCCATGGTATCATAAACCTTGCGCGAAAGCTCTTCCGCACCATCAATAGGTCCATCCAAACGTTTTCGCTTACTTGCAGTGGATGTATTGCCTTTTTTACTACCTTTACGTTTCTTCGCCTTTTTCTTGCCGCTACGCTTATCTGGGTCCCCAGACAGCCCCTCGTTGGTAGAACTGGAACAATCTGCATCATCATCCTCAGCCTCCACTTGAGCCATGGCTTCTTCACGGCGTTGACGAGCCTCCTCTTCCTCAAGCTCCTTTAAAATGTCTTCAAGTGTGTTCGGCCAGAAATCACCTTCAAAATAAGGGATTTCTGTAGGTGAAACAAGCTGATGATCTAGGGCATCTTTGAGGATATTTTTATAGTCCACTACAGAATCCGTGCCAGTAAGCCATGTGTTTCAACATAAGCTAATAGCTGATCCCTTATAATAGTTTCCATTACCTTTGCTATAATGCATGTCAGACTTACCGGCCTGTAGTTAGATACCAATTGCCTGTCCCCCTCTTTGAAGATAGGGCTTATAATAGCATCCTTCCAGTCCCTGGGTAGCTTAGCCTGGGTCAACGACATTTGGAAAATCTCCGCAAGCGGAATATATATTATATCCGCCAAGGAAATTAACATTCCAAAATAATCGTGAAACTTACGGTCATCATACTTATTTTACGTGTGTGTCGGGTTTTATTCAGAAGCTTTGTCACTCATATCCTAACGTCATAACGTTATCGTGTAATTATACGAAATCTGAAGAGCGTGATATTTAATTTTACATGTGTACATAGAATAAACAAACAAATCACAATTTCACAAAATAATTTATGTGAAAGAAATCAGTGATGTAAACTGCAGTCAACAGAAAACAAAACGAAGGGACCCAAGATGTCTGAATGCACATTTATAAAATCAGCCAATGAAATAAACAAGAAAAACAGATAGACTACAAAAAGTTACAGTAAATTCCCATGTTATAAAACAATAATTACTCATAAGTAATAGAGCTATAAAAGTTACAAGTAAATGTTCGTAAAGCCTTTTGAGATAGCGTTAAGTCAGTAGACTGATACTGACATAATAACTGGTGTATAAGAGTGTAATAAAACCGCGAATCGTGCCAGGATTTGTAACAAAGGATTGGGAAGTGCCATACAAAACGGCTGAATTTTTATTTAAGAAGAATAAACTGTCAGCCTTATGGATATAAGGGAATTTATTTGCACCATTAGGCAATTCATGAACATTTTTGAAGAGAATGTCACCAAGTAATATAAGTGAACTTTTTAACGTTATTATATGAACCTTAGTGCTCAGCTCATAGACAGGCATGCCAGTTATCTTGGAGCTAGTCGTAACTCAGACTCTCATTTCACTTTACATCTTCAGACAGTCAATATCATTTCGCTTATTCTAAGCTATCAAAAATTTTCGAAAACAGATACGGGCGATCTGATGCAGTGTAGCATATTTATGTGTCTTATTAAGATGCATTTCCAGACACCTCAAATATGTAAGTACTGTATTCAGAATAAATCCAAATACCATTATCTTATTAATGGAGGTGATTTATAGCTGTAATACTTCATTGGCAGTGTTTACCCTTAGAAAGTAGTATTAGATAGAATAACAACAGCACGTCAGATTTACACCTACTTTTTGACAATGAGTGTAAAAGAGACAGTATCAATGACTGATATCTGGAAATAACCACCTTTTATTGAGTAGGAATGTGAATTTTCGGAAACAGTGTTGCCTTGATTGATTTACATTTGTATACAAGTTCATAGGCTACTTTGAATAACCTAAGTTCAATGTTTTCAGTAGATGCTTCGCCTACTTTACATTCTAGTGAACCGAACTGAATAAGTGATGACTGCAGAAGCCATGACGATGGCATAATATGCTATCAGGTTTTATTTCACTTCTTATAGGAGAATACTGGTGCCATTTTGATCAAAACAAAGTTGAAGGTTACGACTGGTAATCTACCAGGTTGTTGATTATAGCACATTTCACGCAAGACCGATTATTACTTGCATAAGTACTTCACATTGTCAAACAGATATGTGATTATCAGATCAAGTAAAGTTTCTGGTTACAAAGTATATGAGACGTGGTCAATTAGTTTGTGAGGATTTGATCAACTTCATGGTAAGTTTTATCACCAAACGGCTACCCGTTTGATGAATCACTGAAAACCTGTTGAAAACATTAGATTCACGATGAAACAGTGTCCACTGGCTCTTCCTATTTAAGAACACAATATTCAGCGAAGAGGCTCTTTTCAACGGATTTATTATCAAGCTGTACAATCGTACATACATCATTTTTTATACTAGGAAATTATAACACGTGAGCAAATTTAAACGTAGGTGTGAATATATAAATTTCCTCACAGTATATAATTCCTTAATGTAAAAACTTATATGTACATATATATATACTTAATCGTACTGATGCAGTCATTTCTCGTGTTGTGGAACTAAACACGAACGTATCTTTGAGAAGTCACCTTCTGTTTGAACTTTCAACTGATGAACTCCGACAATTCGAGGAATACATTTCCCCTGTCATCGAAAAACAGTCCCAGTCTGCTAATCTCAAACATCTTGACAGCCTCAAGTAGTTAGTAGCAGAAAACAGATTTCCGACTGATCCTAATAAATATGTATTCAATTATTCTTCCATCACTCTTTCTGAAACTCAACTACAAGCTCTATCACTGGGCCCTAAGTTCTGTAACAATTCGTCCAAAGTCAACAGGTTGCATGCTCAAGTGCAATTCGAAAATCTAATTAACCAGACCAACGACCTCACACCCACATCACCTCAGGAATCCCAACATTTCAAATCTACCGTTCTCGATTGCTGTCATCAGTTTACTAATTCAAAACCTAGCTCGAATAATCTTCTGACCAAAGAGCATATAGACCAACATAAAGAACTAGAGAAGAATGATGATATTATCATATGCCGTTCAGACAAAGGTGGGGGTGTTGTAGTTATTAATCGCCAAGATTATAATGATAAATTCTCAGTGATCCTTTCCGACCAAATGAAATTTCCCAAACCCGATGGTGAAATGAACAAGACACATCTAATCGAAAATCAACTGACCGATGTCTTAAAAAACAGGAGGAATAAGTCAGTAATCTCGTCAGCTATAGATGAACGCATCCAATCAGTAGGCTTCATAATACTACGTTTGTATAGGCCACCAAAAATTCACAAAACAGGATTACCCCTCCGTCCAATCCTTGATATGGCGGGTTCTCCTCATCGCGGAGTTGCTCAATGGCTAGCTGAAATATTGGAACTAGTTAGAAGGAAAGTATCTAAGTTTTCCATTGATAATACATTTAAATTTTTTGAGGGATTTTAATGTCTCAGAAAAAGTCATGTCCTCATTAGATGTGACTTTGCTACTTACTGATGTGCCTCGTAGAAACTGTATGCTATATATATGATTATGTTGATGCACATAGTTTAAACATAGGGTTGCCGACAACTACCTCAACGAACTCTTCTTGAGATGCATGTTGAATGTTCAGTTCACTTTCAGTAATGATATTTTTAGATAGATAGATGATACTGCTATGGGTTCGCCACTGGATCCACTATTGACTGATTGTTTTATGACGAAGCTTCACAACTCTTAAATTAGTCAAATCAGTGATGGCTTTGACATTTATAGAAGATATGTAGACGACATTTTTGTTATTTGCGATAAAAACGTAATTCTTGATGATATCTTGTTTGCGTTCAACAACTGCCATCCCGCTTTGCAAGGTACCATAGAAAAAGAATCTGAACTAAGCATTCCTTTTCTTGTTGTGTGTCTGATTAAACGCAATGACGGATCTTTCAAAAGATCCACCCACTGGAAACGTACATGGATGATAACTACATTTTATACCTGGGCGCCTATCTCCAGGTAAAGGAAATTAATTCACTCTCTCTGCCTTAGCATAAGAAACATTTATAGTTCTGACTGCGTTGACTCAGAACTGGCCTTCCTAAAAGCCACGCTAGCAGAAAACGGTTACCCAGGCCGATTTATTGACAAAAATACGAAAGATAAGCAGTCCAAACTGGTCACCCACACAGTTCCAAAGAAAACCATATTCAGGCTATAGATATGCTCAAAAGTCATCTCTCTAAACCAGTCAGTAAGACATTCTTTGCTGCAAAACTATAAATGATCTTCATTAGCTGTAGGTTGTTTGCCGTCTCTGACCGCCTCCATGTGCATCTACCAGTTCACTTGCTCTTGTGAAGCAGGATATGTTGGCCATAGCCAGAAAACGTTTCCCACGCGGATACAAGAACATATTCCCACATAGTTTTACAAGGGAGAAAGTAAGAATGTGCAATCCCCTATTCTAGAATAGTTGAACGACTCCTGTCGCTCTACCAACCCTGACCATGATTTTAAGATCATCTATCGAATTCATTCTAACTTGCCTCCTTTTCTTCGTTATAAGCCTCTAAACACAGCAGAGGCCTTGGTCATTCATGAAATTTAGCCAAACCATTGTGTACAAAAGAAGTATGTACAGTCCTTACTACTGCCTTGGCTGTAGAGAGATAGACCTATATTTATATTTATTTTGTTTATTTAGTTAATCTATGTACCTTTCTCTCATTACTACGATTATCATTATTATTACTATCCTCACTTTGAATTGTTTCCACTTGTCCCACTTGCCATCCTAAATCCAAACGTTTTATAATTTTGAATCCCTACTTAATCAGATTTCATGCCATATCATGCAACGTTTTGTATTAGCCTAGCAATCCTAAAATTATACAGCCCCTTCCAACATCTATACATCCTATGAATTATTCTATGTATGACATTAATTGTTTGCTTACTGACACTTCATATTTAACTATGATTATAATCACAAACATTTTAATTGCATCTCATACTATTATTATTTTACGTATTCACACCTATGTTTAGATTTCCTAAAAGGATATAATTTCTTAATGTAAAAACCATATACATATGATTGTACAGCTTGATAATAAGTTCTTTGAAAATTCTCTTCGCTGAATATTGTTTTGGAATAAAGAAAGAACGAACATTTTTTCAGGATAATACGACCTCCTTTTATTCCATGGATTCGCTTCAAATGCCTACATCCTAAATAAATTAATTATAAGTTACAAAATTTCTGAACATACTTTTTTCACAATGACTTTAAGTTACAAATAGAAATTATATGCAACATAATTTTATAAACGTCCACTCTGTGGGCGTGGATTCGAATCCCACTCCTGACACCACTTTTTTGTGCGTCGGTGGCATGTGGTTCGGGATTCGATCCCCTGCCGACGCACACCCAGTATCAATTGTCGGCCTCCAAAATTTGGGCTACCGATATCACATGCTGAAAATTCCATACTTGTATCAAAAATACTGTGTGGTTTCAAGCTATAATCAAAATTTTAAAAATCAAAATTTCAAAAAAATTTAATATTTCGTATAAATGGGTAAGTTTACATGGGATGCGTGCCATTTTTTTAGTCATGATCAGATATGTTTTAAATTACAATCGTGAAATTTCAATAAATTAGCACTTTTTCAAAATATTTAATGTTTGAATTGTAGTGCAAGCATTCAGAACAGGTTCGCATAAATGTTAAATCGTAAACCCTTCACTAAAGTCACCATCAAGGTTGAGCGCCAACACAAACTTCCTTTCATTTCTTGCTGATAATTATAGTTAACTAATGAACAGCCTATATTTGTATAAATGCTATGTCCATACGTGATTAAAAGATATTTCAGGAAGAGAAGAAAGTACTGAGAAACTGCAAAATGGTACGAAACACAATTAAGGATAACATATCATCGAAAGTACATCTACAAGATACTCTCGAGAAGGAGCTAAAGAGTCCTTGGAATGATAATATACATTAGAGATGTATAATGCTAACCATATAGGTCTTACCATAGAAACTATGACGTTTCCGATGAAAATATAGCTCTCCTCAAACATTGGTAATGTTGTTGTGTTTGTTTCCATTAGTACAACCAGACTTTAAGGGGGAGAAGAATACAAGTGAAAAGAGCAAGCTTTAGCTTCATTAAAGGTCTAGACAGTTAAGACATAACAGAGTATAACAGTGCTTAAATAAAAAATTACTTCGAAGTATAAAAGTCATCGTTTAGTGAGAAGTGGCTTAGAATATCTTGAAAATTGGAACCTGTAGGATATGCTGACCTGTAAGATGTCTCATGAATCTGTTTAGGGCCAACGGGTTCGCTTACATGCTGACAAGAAGCTCAGCAGGCTTGTAGATGTTTTTCTGCTATTTTATGTAAGTTTAAAGTAGGTACCTCATTAAATATGTTAACAGAAACTTTCAGAACATACCAATTTCTAATAAAATATGTAGTTATAAGTCTAATTGAGGTCATAAAAATGAAAAATCATAGAGATAATAAGAAGTGGAAAGTTTTGCTTTATTTAAGTTATGCAAAAATACCTAAGCAAGGAAACGGTATTAAATACGTGTTTAAACCAAAAGTAAATCCATCTTGTATTTCTGGTGATAGATACACAGTAGAAACATTAATCACGTATGAGTATAGTTTTGGTGAAACTAATGAAATTTAATTAGAAATATCTGTACGATAAACACTGCTAGCCAAAATTAATTTGTATTTGACACAAATTATATTAGTAGGTGGTTTTCACATTTTACTGGTGAGTTTACGTAACTACGTGATGGCTGTTTAGATTATCCATCATGGTGTTTATCAGGAATCTATATGATTTGGCGGCCTGCTTAAATCACAAGGCTACATAAATTAACTATCCATCAAAGCACATGTTTATTCCGTTTCACGTCGTTTTAATAATCTAATTACCACAGTGAGACACAATCTATACTCGTGCGCAGTTTCAAATAAATTTCTACCTACCGCTAGAGATTTTTCGAAGAAAATGAAGGAAGAACATTGTGGAGGAGTTCTGGAGCCCGTTTCGAGTACAACAATATTGCCTCAGATGATATATATATCATCGGTTATTACATTAAGATTCTGTACAATGAGTAAATACCTTGCAATGAAACTCGCTGAAAATTCTTTATTGTATATAAACGCATTATTCAGAATAAAGGTATTAATCATTATATTATTGCTAACTAGGTGGGGCTAAATTCACTTCATAATAAATGACGAGTATACCACTGAACAACACACATGTGTTGGTGTTTATAATATATATATATCATCTGCGAAGAGTATCCACAACGACAAAGGAACCCATATCCACTGAAATATTCAAACCTGTATTACTCAGTCCTGCAGGTAGGGACGCAACCACTGAGATATTTCGGCCTTATTAACTGGAATAGTTATATTACCTAATCTCCTAGGTGTACACTTTGTTGGTGAGTGCCGCCAAGCATGAAATCTAAATATCGATTACTGCTAACTGTTTAAATTCAATTCAAAAGCACCCTGGATGATACATCATCAAGCTTCATGACCATACTTCAGACTTGATTGAGACAATTAGTTCAAGACGGAACAAGACAGCAATCGTCTTTGCCTAGTGTCCTGTCACTGTAGGGATATATTATATATCTTATGATTATTTTCCGATCACATACTTTTTTATTTCGTTAGGCATATCTGATCATGCTTTTAATGCCTTTTGTTTTCATTAGCAATCGGTGGAGCGTATCGATTCAGGTGTACACTTTCCTATCTATGATTTCTAAACAGTCAAGAAATTCCATGCAATTATTTCCCACAATAAACTTGAATAACACAATAAGAACAAAGGGTTCCTGAACTGATGATTTCCTATCGTTTTCTTAAAGTCACTGAATAATCTAGTGATTTACTGCAAGATATTAAGGGGAACCAATTAGATTAAAATGTTAAGAAAACCATCTCAAGACTGTGTGTTTTCCGCATCGGTTTTTCAAAACACTGCTATCACAAAAACTGCAGCTGACTCTTGGAATAACTAGGCCTCATAGTGAATCAACGAAGAATCTAGTCGGAAACCTAAGAGAGAAGTCCACCCACCTTGAAAGTTTTGTAAAAAAATCAAACAATTTTTCAGGTTAAATTCATTTAATTGTTATAAGATGTTCAGAAAACGCTGACTAGAGGTTCTCAAAATCTTTAGTCACAGAACTGATCTATGAAGAATTTCCAGAAAAATTAAATAAATATGTCTACAAACTTTCAAGCACTCACGTGAATCAGCTTTAAAAAGAAACTCTGTCTATCGGACTCTGATTTTGAATACCAAAAGAGGTTTCCAGCAGAATAGGTACAGAATTTTACTTTGAGAATTCACTTCATTAATTCAGTGGTCTTAAGTTCACAGTCAAAGATCAAATGGAAAAGTTGTTCTTATTGCGTAATTCAAGTCTTGAAATTGTCTGTAAATTAACAGTAATATATCTTCATAGCTTAAATAATCTTTAGTAAATGAATATTCCTGATCGATCGCGCTGCTTTCTTAAGTAACACGTACACTATGATAATTTAACATTCTTTGTTTCGTTCACTTTCTACTGAAAGACGTTTTAAATTACCCTGAAAAAAATTGAATGTTGACAACAAACACTCATTATTCTTAATTTTCAATCTCTTATCTTCGACTGTATAATCTCTTTGATGAGTAGATGCAAATTTTGATGTATTTAATTATTATGAAGTAAATCTATGTTGTTATGTTCGGTTTATTTATCGTTTCTATATTGACTTCATAAAATAAAACAATAGGAAAAACTGCAAGTATTCGTACGAAAAAAACAACTTTTTTTAATTGAAAAATGAAATGTAACAAAATAGGATTCTGTGTAAACAATGATTGTCAAACCTTAGTGGAGAGAATTATCGTTTGGTTTTAAATGTTTACAAGTAATTGCATAGAAGAGAAATAATGAGTATTTACAGTCTACTTTGTTCTTGAATTGTTGTTTCTGAGGATGTCGGCTGAGCAAATTTCCGTTTACCCTCATTATTTACTGAACAAACATGCTGAAAAAAATATGGAAAAATGTATCATGATAACTATGCAGTTATTTGTAACAAATTGTATAGTTTATTTAATGCATATATCAACACTGGATCTGTGTAAAGTTTTGTTTTTAAGAGTTTGAACGATGCAAGAAAACAAAAATACAGAATGTTGACTAATTTCGGGTGAACGGTTTTGTTTACCTTATCCAAATGTAATTAGAATTAAAAGATGTCCAATTCGTGTTTGATTGCATGGAGGATTTCATCATGAGCTGACATCAGTTAGAGAACCATTCGAAAACCTGGTAGTAATAAACAGCTGTTTCGTCCTAGTTTGGGACTCTTCAACAGTACGCATCCACTGGGATTCGAACCCAAGACCTTCTGCTTTCAAGGCGAGCTCGTAGACCATTGACCCACTGGGACCCGATCCAATGGTCCTTGAATTCTAACTTCTGCCAATTGAAGACATAGCGCGACCATATCGCAATGTCTTCTTCCATGAGTTACCACCTCACCTTCAACCTGCTGTACCCTACTGGTCACGGCTTCCCACTAGAACCCCAGGTCACTGCCTGAATAGGGCCAGTCACTAGTGAGCATCAGGTTAATTTTCAAGTATTGGTTTTGTAGGGATTTTATTTGTTTGCATGGAGGATTTCATGATGAGCTGACATCTGTCTCACTGGGAAATCGGTTCTTTTGTAACCATGGATAGCTTACTTTTAGTATGCAATCTTCTGTATTGCAAATGACATTATGTGAAACAGTTCACTATTCTTGTACTCTCTGAGTATGTTTCATAGTTCACTCGGCATTATACTTATTTTCTCGTTCAAATTTTTATTGATCTATTCAACTGAAGGTCAAAATTTTCAAATCATTTTAGTCTTTCTTTGTTACCTAATTATAGCCTTTACAACAGGCCGTCAAGAAGTTGACAGCGTAATGAGGAAGATTACTCTGTGATGATACTCTATGGTTATAGCGTCACATGGTGAATTAACAGATATGATATTTTAGACGTTATTTGTTGCATGCTCACCGTATCATCTGACACTAATGGGCTTAAATTTCTGCAAGTGTTTGAAGCAATACTGTTGAAGGATTTCAGGTTAGAAAACTGCAGATTTTCAGTGGTTCTGTGTTATCATTAACTCTTTTTTTCAGTGAAGCTACTTAACATTTGGATTTATTAGCATATATATTTAGAAACACACTTACAGGTATATCACGGAAGTTATCATTGTAGTCAATACCATAGCCAACTATGAATCGGTTGGGTACTTCAAAGCCAACAACTGAAGAATGCAAGAGATGTTTAAGATCAATTATGAGCATAAAGGAGTGATATTTACAGTAAATAATTAGCTTGTATTTTTTGTTTGTTTTGTGCAAGAAAACATGGAGAGAAATTAGGTCAAAAGTTTCGTGCTATAGATGTAAATCACGGACAGTGAACATATGCAAAGAAAACAACTGTCATTGTCATAGAATATTCAGAATAATCGAATGATTACAACTGTTTAATGGTACAGGAGTCTTGTGATATTAGGTGTTTGTACTTGTTTATTACTGACTAAAATATTGTATAGCAAAAAGTAACAAACAACCACATCGTCCGAGTTCAACATGTCACATTCACCTAAATGTGTGTAAAATGACACCATACATGATTTAACGCTTCAATGATAATTGCCTATTGCTACTATTAGTTATTTACCAACAGTTTCATAGTGGCTTACACTTACATACCACAAGTTACCGCCTCACAAATCGGTAACCATAGTGTTATACAAAATAATTTTAGAACATTCAAATATTCTGCTGCTACAAAATGTCTTAAATAAACAGTTATTGGTCTTCAAAAATCAAGCAATGCGTTAAAAACTACTCATAATATGTTAATATAGGCCAATTTGCTGCTGAAAGATAGTAACAGGCGCTTAAGAATTCCCTCACTAAACAGTTCATCAGGCATTTCTAACACTCCATTCTGCACTTCTAAAAGCTTATTTATGATTTATTCGAATGAATATTTAGATGGTATTTAATGAGGAAGTATGCAAATAATCATAGACTTTCACATGTTATCGTTTAGTATTTCCGGCATTATACCATTTTAGTGGGTTATGACTGTTAATTGTTTAGAAGCGGAATACCCACACCAGTTCAACTTCGTAATACAGCTCTACTCTACATGAAACAATTAAACCATGAATTATTGAAAGCAAGTAGGACCAATCGAGATGAAATCTTTTTTAAAATAAATGTCGAAAACTTACAGTCTGGTATATATCCAGCACAATCTGGTCTTCTTTTCAGTAACAAACTGTTATTTTGCACAAAACAGAAAAACACATGGAAAATATGGTGAATGCCCTGAAAGAATTACTGAGCCATATACCAGTATAAAATAAAACACATGTGAAGGATTCTTTGCTGGTTATATTTATTTATTCTATTTTATTCCTTTACTCTCCAAGTGGAACATAAGGCTTCAAGCAGAAGGTTTGCAGTTTCTGTAGCAGTGGTTTTATTTTTATGGGGTGGGGTTGTTAGCCTCACACCCAGCCTTCACTCTGTACCGGATGTATTACCGGCTAGTCGAGGGTAAGGACTGCGTTGGCCGAGGATCGAATCCCGGGCCTAGTGAGTGGTTGGCGATCACTCTACCGACGCACACCTTTGCAGGTTACTTGGTACCAAAACAAAACACCGCTCTATAGTTGATAAACATCTATATTTGTGGTGAACTCATTTTCAAATGCAAAATGCTGTCTCAAGACCAAAATGGATTTTCTGTATCTAAAAATAGAAAGTTAAGTGAATCATTATTCTCTCCGACCAGCTTGCATTGAAAATCCCACCAACAAGGACTGACCAATTGCTGATGAATAGATGAGGTGAATGTGACACCTCTTTGAAAAAATTTGCGATCTTTTGTATCAGTGAAATAATCATATTTTTTTGAGAAGGAGACTTCATGTGTAGAAATGAATTTATTCTATATGCTTAAATAGATGACAGAGTCATGAACAGCAAATTACATTTGGAAGATTATAAGGAAACTGTCTGCCAACAATACGATGCGGTTGTGATATGGAGTTTACAAATACGCTATTGTTATTATTGCAAGGAATCCCAATGCCACTATAAGATGGTAAGTTTTCGTTAATTAATAATGTTTTCTGTTTTTTAGTGAATGCCAGCTGGTGCGTTTGTGTGTGTGTGTGTCGGTTAGAAAAAAAGTTTAAAGCCAGATGCTCTTGAAGAGTTATGCTAAGACAAAGTACATGGTTTAGAAGGCCTTTGACTGCAAACTTCTACTTTACTTGAAACTGAATGATTCAGACTGCGAAGAGGAGCAACAATTCCAATCGATAGTTGGATACTTTGGCTTATAAATCCTAAGATACGTTCCACAAGTGGAAATGAATTTACAAATCTATTTAACGTTTCATTATTTCCTCTTGTCTATTCGCTTATGGAAATGATAAACCATACCGTGACATACACCGTCACATGTTATGCTATATTTTATTCAAAATAATTTGATCAGGTAGATGATAACAATAGTAATAACAATAACAGATACAGACATTTATTCCATTTATTAAATCTTATCAACTAATATGAACTAGTGATTGCTGTTCACCTCTCTCAGCATAAGTTGATCGACATTTCAAACCATATGCCTCAATAATTTGACAATAATAATAATAACAATCACTGTTGTCATAGTAATCAGTCTAACATCCAATTCATACAGTTTACTGCCTTTAACTTTATCGATCACCCACAAAGTGTGTGAGACAACCAATCAGTTGTTGACTGTTGACTTTGTTTCAATTCTCCCCAAAAAAATCAGTAAATATTCAATATCAAAATATAAAAAAAATAGTGAAATAAACAGAAGCGAACACAACAATACAATAAATTATTTTAACCTACCAAGCTGTGTGTAACGAGAGTGGATTATATTGAAGGACAAATTCTTCGATTTTAGTTAGACTTGTTCCTGTATCAACAAGATCTTCGACAATGAGAACCTTCTATGCACACGAAGAAAAAAAAGAGGAAAGAGGGATAATAGTTGTAGTTGATAGAAAAGCCTTATTCACTGAATTAATCAACTCACCTTATTTCGAAATTTCTCCATGTCTGTACAGGGATTTAATTTTGTTCCATCACCCACAGAATCATTCTGACCAATTTATTCAACCAATATATTTATATGTATACAACTTACAACATAGGTATTAGATAAGATGAAATCAATGTACAAAGCGATATCTTTCTTTCTTGATGTTATAAATGATCGTAATTTAAAGAATAGATCAGTCGCGAATCTGAAACCACCCTTCAGAATGCATATGATATGAATTGAATGTGTATATGAAGCCTCATATGTATCTACAATATCAGATGCCATTTTATCTAGGCGATCCATAACCATTCCATGTGGTACAATTATACTCTCGATATATTCTTCATAACGTTCTGGTAGCAAAAAACTCTTTCCAAAATATCCTGGGAAATCATCATTCAACTGTAGATAAAATTAAGAAGACGATGAATATAAAAGTAGTAATAAAGTCTTACAATTACACAGTCATCTTGATAACGACGTGAAGGCATGTCGACGGTAAACTACAGATAATTATAAATGTGATGAAGATAACTAACACTGTTCCAAGTTTATATATCGACCGAATTATTAGATTAGCCAATCTGATGACTGGAATCTGACGACCAATAAAACCTTAATATGTAGAAATATGTTTTAGATAGCAATAAATAAATAAGTACCGCCCTTTTGTGTCTAAATTTAAAAAAATAACTTATTTTTAATTATTTGAGATTGATTTAAACATAAAACTGGATACAATTTAAGATGCAACTGACTGTAGTTGGATATTCTCGTTTATGTGGGGAGGGATGTGCTTTGTATCTACATTTAAGTAACATTTATACCACACGTCTCACAAGACACAAATATCGTCATTTCATGTCAGGCAAAAAAATAATAAATATATATTCATGTCACATAAGGTGATCAGGATGAGTTAGATATTGTGAGGTGTGTTAAATATGCCTTCGAATCTCTCCTAATTAGAAATCAAATATTGTCGTGTTTCTCTGTCTTTAGTTAGCTTATAATCCTTAATCATTCTGATAACTTTTCGTTCATAAAGTGCAAAACGCTTTTGTAGGGTTTGTAACATCTTTTGTTACTTAACTGATATTTTAATGAAATGATCAGTCCACATCTCATTGATTGGTGAGCATAAATATTTATTTTAGATTATATTCAGTTTTGCTAACACGCATTCGGGAGCCAATCCAATGGCCAGCATATAAATTCTAACTTCTGCCAATTCACAACATAGCGCGACCCTTAGCCAATGTCTTCGGCGAGTATTTGTCCTCACACCCGACCTGCTGCACTCTTTGTTTTGTTTTCAATAAATGTTCCTTAGCTTCTCATAGTTATAAAATAACTATTGTTATCATTTTAACTATAATAGACAAGTATTCAGTAAATACATTTTTCTAATGCTGAATAATAATGATGATGATTACAGATTTAGAATCAAATTAGTTTGAAGTTGTAAGGTGACAAGAAAAGTCGTGTTTGTATAAAAAATTGATAAGCTGAATGCAATTACTAAATAGTGTGAAATGAGGGGAAATGATGATTAATCATTATAAATTTTTAGAGGCTAAGAGTGTTGACCTGGAGAAAGAAAATTAATAATTTAATTCACGGTTGCAGAATGTATTTGGTGAGTGACGAGTATAAAGGTAGTATACGTACAACAGAAGATAGTCAGACTACAGTGAACAGTTCATTATTATTTAATCAATATGTGAAATGATTTAGGTGTAGTTATATCAGCTCACCACATCTGTAACATGAATGATTTTTAGATAGTTGGAGGCAATCGGCAGGAAGACTTGGACCTAGGTTTCGGACTAGTTGGCACTCATCAGCAAGGCGTATCTGCAATCTTGAAGGAACTCATGTCCCTTATGAGATTCGAACCCGCGTCGCCCAGTGCTGCAGTCAGAGACGTTACCACTGAGCTATTCGGGCTCGCGATTGACCTCCTGGAGGACTGTAGTGGGTATTTCGATTGAACACTAGTAACTAGTGTGACGTATCTAGTCCTTCTTTTCTTTTGTTCTTATCCCCTTAGGACTTAAAACTCATCTGATTTCAAATCTGTAGTGATATATACATTCAAAGTTAAGAAAATATATTCGTCCGCAAATACCTGGCTTTCATTCTGATGATAATAAATCAAACATGAAATCAATCAAATCCTTGAAAACAAAAACTTGAAAATTAATCTATTGGTCACTGGACGCACCGACTGAATATCGCGCTATATATCTTTAATCGATAGAAGTTAGAACTGATGGGACATTGAATTCCGTCCCAGTGGCTGGTTGGTCAACAAACTCACATTGTAAGCTGTAAGTCCTAGGTTCAATCCTTTCTAAGGTCATGGGTGTGTGTTGCTGAAGAATTCCAATGGAGGACAAAACAGCTTTCCAGTACTCCGTGGTTTTCAAAAGTTCTCTAAATGAAATCTGTTTGTGATCAAACTTGAAATCCTATTTTATAATTATTAGAACCTGAAGAGGCTTCCTTCAAGTTAATATTGCTCCTTCCGACAGTCTTTTGATTTATTGTATTAGAATACTTCATCGATTAGCTTTTCACTTTTATCTGTGAAAAAATGAAGTCAGACTATATAAATATCCTTGCAACAGTGAAAAACAAAGCAAATAAAAAGAAGTAAAGAACTACTTTGACCTTAATCTTCGTGTCAAAATCTGTTATCATCTGATGTTACGATCAATTTAAAAATATAGTACACTTTATGTAGGTCTTTAATGTAGTCTCACTGTAAGTTATTAGAGCGGAATGTTAATTACCGTGATTGTGAACTGAGTTTTTGTTTATGACTAATTATACGTTATCGATCGATAATTACTGAATAAATATCTACATTCTTATTCAACACCTTCGAAATATACTACTTTTATAAAAGTTCTGAGTAGTTTGGATTGCAGATGAATGAAAAATCTCATAAAATGAAATCTTAAAGTGTTGGTTTGAAAAGATTAGACTAATTTCAGGGTAGATCACCAAATAGAAGACTTAAAGAACTAATAATAACCTAGAAGTGCTGGACGATTGCTTCGTCTTACTTTGAGGATGCTAATTTGTATTCATCCATTCATGACCCTACAGGGTATCGAACGCAACACCTTCAGTCTAGGATGCAAGCCAGTTGACTATTTAGCCACTGGCATTGGATCTAATGCATTATGATTTCTAGCTTCTCTCACTGCACGATACATATATATCGCCACAGTTAGTCAATATCATCGACGAGTATCTGTCGTCAAAACATAAATTTATGAACACCACTGGTCGCCAATTGACATATATTAAAGTTCATGGGCCATTTAATTCTACCAAATGTTAGATGATCAACGACACTGCCTTTCAACCTCGAAGTTATGAATTCCACTCTCGGTGGGGTAGTTGATGCGTACTGTTGATGAATCCCAAATCAGGATGAAACAGCTTTCCTGTACCTTATGGTTTTCAATGGTTCCCTAACTGATATTATTCTGTAATCTGACTTGAGAATGAAACCTGAATTAGTAGAACTAGACAAAGATATTGTCATGCTGTTAGTTCATTCGCCAATGGACTTTAAATTGTACTGCCGACAATTACTAGATATATAATTCAGATTTCGGTACATGCAGTGTTGAAGGTGTCTGCATAAAAATTACATAAACTGGAAGAAATTCTAACTATCTGGCCTCAATGTGTGCATGGAATGTATAAAATCAACAAAAAATACAGGAATACGGTGAAAACAGTTTTCCGAAGAAACTCTCTTTTCCTTTCCACCTGATTAGTTCCCATAAAATTTGATTAATTGTAATTTAGAATTCGTCACCAACTGGTATCACCTACAGAACCAATATTTCGTCCCAATTTGCAACTCGCCATGAATAAAAATCAAGGAATATGCGGGTAAATTTGCTCCCCGTCTTCATGCTTCAAAGTGAGCACGTTATTGTTCAGCGATTGCATAACACCACAAATGGACTGAATTCAGAATTTATGGATCTTTAAATACAAGTTAAACAGGTTAATAGTAGCAAATTCACTGAGAAATATCTCTTTACAGCATTTTATCAATCTCGCATGAGTCTATATATTGCTGAAGGGTTCGGAGCTGTATAAATCTTTCAACTTTTGTCATACCAACTGACTTGACAAGTAGATTTGTGAAGGGACTGTTTTGCAGTGTATTTTGAGAAGGTATAAGACTTTTCATCAAACAGATTTCTTTTCTAAAACCCTGTATGCAAATTTACTTCGGATAAAACTTTGTGTTGAAGCATATTTCAGTGATTTGGTTTGATGTGATTAGTGTTAAATAATCAGTTGAAAATGACATCAAACCAATACATAACTCCCTGTCTTGATCCTCATACAAGATAACTTTGAAAATCAATTTATATCTCATTGATATGTTTCATAGTTTCGCCACATGATACGTTGTGAAATGAATGAATAACTGTATAAGTAGTCCTAATGTACTTACATAATGAAGTTATGCCGTAATGATAATAAAAACAGAGGATGCATCAGATGATTTTCATCATATACTGTGAATTAGAAAAGCTATTCATAAGACAACTTTTGTTGTTGTTGTTGTTGGAACAACATATGCATGCAAAACCTAAAGGTTCTGGATTACTGATACACTGTCGCTATCAGTAGCTACTTGGTTTGCTTAACTAGGATAGTTTAACATTACTACTATCCCCTTAGTGCGTCGGTGGCACAGTGGTTAGGACGCTCGCCGACCATGCACATGGTCCGAGGTTCGATCCCCAGCCGACGCACTCCTTTACCCCGCTGAGCCAGAAATAATGCTGGTGAAGGAGAAAGGTTGGGCATGAGGTTAGCAACCCCATCCTGTAAAATAAACACTGCTACACAAACTTCAAGCCACTAGCTTGAAGCCCTATGTTCCACTGGGGAACGCGAAGGAAAAAAACTATCCCCTTAGGTTCGGAGTGGAAAATAGGGTTTTAAAAGCCCATATTCATTTCATCCTCTTCTATGTGGTCCGCTTCAGCCGGCTACACGGCTTCTCTTATGCTCTCCCCTTCGTCGTATCAACTCACTACTTTTAAACACATTTCATCGATATTGGTAAGAATTCTTTAGATTAATGTCCAAATAAATGATAAAGTATGTCGGCGTTTAAATAAGCCGTTTATTCTTACTTTACTTGCTTACTTTAGTTTTGTCTAGTTTATACTAAAATGTCTAAAGTATGTGAACTGAAACAAATGAGGCTACTTCATTAAAATTATTTTTTTCTTAATCTGTATAGTTTATTCAAACTATACACCAGAACTTTATTTTATTTTATTTTTTTAATAATCACTCTCACTCACTGTTTGTTAAATGAACTGAAGTAATTAATTAATTTCTACCTGAATAGTTGTTATTGTTTGGATGTGATTAAAGACTTTAGTCAACAATGACGGCACAGTTTACCCTTTTTATAATTTAACATTTTGTGCCAGATATTGAGTACTTTTGCCAAAATTGAGCA